GGAGGCTCCTGCACCCCAATTGAGTATGACACCAGCTGCATTAAAGCCAGTAGGAAAATTCATGGCACCATCTTGCCACAGGAGATGACTGAATTGTACTGCCAACATTCTAACATTGTGAGGGTCTGCCTGAGGGACTGGGTTTTGTCATGCCTGAGAATGGGCACTAATGGGAAGGTGCCACAAGTTGGGGGTCACTGAGAACAAAGGGGATGGATTGGACCAGCACATACTCTCTGCCCATTGGCCTTTCCCCACTTTAGCACAGAGCAAATGAAGAACAAATGGTGCAGCTGCTATAGAATACAGTAAGGAGTTAAAAATTAAAAATGGGCCCTGGCCAAGTGTGGCTTAGTTGGTTGAAGCATTGTCCCAGACACTGAAAGGTTGTGGGTTTGATTCCCAGTTAGGGCACCTGCGTTGTGGGTTCTATCCCTAGTTAGGGAGAGTGCGAGTGGCAGCTAATCGGTGTTTTGCCCTCACACCTCTCTCTCCTTTCCCTTCTCTCTAAGCATATCTTTGGGTGAGTATTAGAAAAAATTTTTTTAAAAATTAAAAATAGAACTACCTTATGACTTAGAGATTCCACTTCTGGGAACATATCTAAAGAAACCCAAAACACTAATTCAAAAAATATGTGCACCCCTATGTTCCTTGCAGCATTATTTACAATAGCCAAGATTTGGAAGCAGCCAAAGTGTCCATCAGTAGATGAGTGGATAAAAAAGCTGTTGGTACATTTACACAATGGAATACTATGTGGCTATAAAAAAGAAGGAAATCTTATTCTTTACCACAGCATGAATGACCTGAAAATCATTATGCAAAGTGAAATAGGCCAGTCAGAGAAAGACAAATACCACATGAATTCACTTATATGTGGAATCTAATGAACAAAATAATTTAGCAAAATAGAAACAGAAGCATAGATACATAGAACAGACTGACAGCTGTCAGATGGGAGGGGTTTTGAGGAGCTGGGTGAATAAAGGTGAAGGGATTAAGCAAAAATATATACATATGACATATAAACATGGGCAAAAGTATGGTGATAGCAAGAGTAAAAGGTGGATGGGAAGAGGTAGAGGTGGGCAAAGGGGGGGATAAATGGATGCAAAGAGACTTTGCTTTGGGCGGTGAGCACACGATGCAGTGTGCAGATGATGTTTTATTGGTTGTACACTTGAAACTTGTCTGTTTTTTAAACCAATATCACCCCAAAATTCAACAAGAAAAGTTTATAAATACTGTACTTCAGGAAATTATTCAGAACTGAACGCAAGAGAAAGCACATGTAACAGGTTTAACACAGGAGTGGCATGATTTCATTTGTGTTTTGAAAGGATCCCTCTGACTTCTGTGTATAGACGCATTGGAAGGTGATGAGAGTAGGAAGGGGTAGTCAGTCAGAAGGGAATTGCAGTGGTTCAGACATGAAGATGGCAGCCTGGCTCAGGAGTGGGTGATGGAGACTGAGCCATCTGGCACATACTGAGAAGAAAAGAACAATAAAGCTGTATAATGGATAGGTTTTAGTGGGAAATAAGGTAACTGTGGAATGACCTTCAGGTTTCAAACTTGCACAAGGAATGGATGTAGTGCCAGTCGGAGAGAGAAAGACACCATGGAAAAGGTTGGGATGAGGGTGAAGATGGTGAGTCATAAATTGGAAGGCTGAGTTTAAGGTGCCTTGGTAATATCAAAGATGTCAAGTAACTGGAAATACTCCTCTAGTTCTCAGAGCTAGAGAAACGTATGTGGCCATCATTTGCATCTACATGGTGACTGACCCTAAGGAATGAATTCTATCTCCTAGGAAGAAAGAATTTAATGAGAATTTAAATTGTTCTGGACTCAATCCATTGGTTGAAGCTATAACAGAAACAAAGAGAGAAAAGCTAATGGTGGAGATATAATGGAGAAAGACATGGAGGAGGGGCATTTAAGTAGATTCTAGATTGATAAGGATGGAGTGTTTCATTAGAAAGAGTGATAACTAGTATAAAAAGTTTCTGGAAGGATTTTAGGGGCTCAGAGATCATTGTAAACCTAAGAGATATTTGCTTTGGTGGAATGATGGGGGAAATAAGCCAAAATATATGAATTGAGGGAATGAATTTGAGGGAATGAATTTAAGGCAATGAAACAGAGAAAGAAAAATCAGCTCTTGGCTGGTAACTAGAAGAAAATGGTAGGCCAAGTGGTACATGTTTGTAAGATGGAAAAAAATCAAACATGTTGCTACAACATTGGGAAGAATGCTTTTGAGGTGAGGGAAGAATGAAGGGGAGAAGGGTGGGAGAAAGACAAAGAGGGAGGAGAGAGAATGTGTGAACAATAGTGTAAGAGGAATTGATAAGGCAAGAATGATGGGATTCAAAGTGAAGGTGAAAGTTGTCTTCAGAGAGAAGGGAAATGGTGTGAATGATATGGCAATGATGTGGAAAAAGTGCCTGCTAATTTATGTGTGTTCAGAGGGTGCAGTTCACAGAGTCATTGCAATCACTCAGATTTTCTCTGTGGAGTATATGGTACGAATATTTGCTGAGAAAGGGAGAGGGGATAGAAGATTCAACTGTGAAACCAGTGCTTGTGGAAGATGAGTGAACAGGTGAAAGATATACAGAACTTCCTAGGAGTATACTACACTTCTTTTTCAAAAAATTATTTTAAAATATGTTTTTGTT